TCAAGATCCCTCTCAAAGCTTGGAGGCTCCCCGTAACCCCCTCCCCACTTCCTCTGGGCACCCTCTTCCCGCACCCTGACTCCATCCCCTCCGCAGTCCTGCCCAGGGTCATTTTTGGTTCCCTCGGTCTTCCAGCTTTCTCTAGCCTGGGCTTCCTCTCAACCGTCTATCTGTTCTACTTCAAATGTGAACACCCACTGGGCGTGGTGGTGCACGCCTGTAATCCCAGCACTCAGGGAGGTTGAGGCACAGTATCACCATGAATTCAAGGCCTGACTACACTACACAGCAAGCCCGTTTCATAAACAAAAAAAAAAATGTGAACACTCCACACTTTGCCCCAGCCCTGCCTCCCAAAATCTAACTCCTCTTCAACCGCCAGGGCTCTGCAAGCTCTCAACTCGCTAGATGTTAAATGTGCAGATTTCGTGTCTCCTGAATATGGAAGAATGAATTTTGAGGCCAAAGGAGGGTAAGAGTAGGAAAGGTTTATTGAGAGCAAGCTCTTGAGACGAGAGGTCCTGAAAGGGGTTGCCAGACGCTATTTCTCCTAGAATGTTTTTCAGAGCAAAATCACTGTGTGGGTACAACATGGGTTAAACTACTGCACAATCAACCAACAGGATTGTAAGTATAGTGGCTTAGCTAATATTGACCCGGTAGGGAAGGGAGGCATGCAGCAAAGGTAATGGTAACACCAACTTTCGCTTATCTGTAAGTTCTAACATACAGAGATAAGAGGCCTTCTTGGAAAGGGACAGGAAGTGACAGAAGGATGTCTGGATGTTCTGCTCACCCGCTGATGCCTATCTGGACTTACTGGACTTACTGGTACTAATTACAGTATAATCTCCAGTTGCTGTTTATCTCTCAGGGAGGCTCACAGGCTTGGCTACTGCATTTCCATTTTGAGGCCTGGCCTTTTTCAGATGTGCCTCCAGCCATAGTTTTTGTGTTTTTTTTTCCCAGTCACAGTTTTGAAGTTTTATCTACTACATGGACTCCCTGGAAGGCCCATGCCTATCTGATTGCCTATTAATTTCTATCTAACTGCCCTTTAACACTTCCTCAGCCCCTCTCATGTCAGGACCAGTTCCCAAGCACGGAGCATCCTCAGTAATGAGCTGTGCACCTCGGCCCCACTGTAGACCTTGCACCCTGGAGGACGTGGGCTGTCCCTGGGTCTCCTTCCAGCAGCCCCATGCTGGCCACCCAGCCCTTTGTGTCTCCCTTGCCATTTATGAAGGGTGCTGTTAGATCTGCTGCATTGCTGGTTAAACTAATTTTTTTGGAGTTTATTTGCCTTCCACTCCAATGCTATCCTTCCCTTGGAAATTGCTGTGGAAACACCTTTTTAAGGAGCATCACATTGGATGTACATTTAGTTACAAAAGTGGCATTACAACTTTATGATTTTCAAGCTTAGAGGTTGTCTTAGTTACTTTTCTCTCATTGATGAAACAAAATGCTGGACACCCAGTTACAGGGAAGGAAGGTTTATGTAGCTCACAGTTTATAGAGGTTTCAGTCTGTAGCTGGCTGGCTCCAAGACAGGGTGGCACATGGCAGAGAGGCGTGTCACAGAGGAGAAGGGTTCATCACACTCACAAGGTAGCAAAAGCAACAAGGGGACAAGGCTCTTTCTTCTTTCTGACCCTTATATTGTATGCAGGCTACATAAAAGCACTCACACCTTTAGTCCTAGCCAGAACTAAGTCAAACCAATCAGCAGACTGATTTACTAATCACACACCCTTAATCCCAGCATCACACTGCCCAGCTGTAAGAAGCTCAAACCACATGGAGAAGTGCTGGAGATGGGACGCTGTGTAGAGAGTGGAAAGTCAAAGACCTGAAGGCCCTCGGCATGGTGAGAGGCCGTTTCAGAAGTGGGGCACCAGCCAGAGCTGCCTCAGAGAGTCAGAAACAGATCATGCAGCCGAGTTCTTCCCCAGTTCTTGACCTGCAAACTGATGATGGCAAGAGAATATTTTAGGCCGCTGAGTTTGGGGTAGCTTGCTGCACTGCGATACATAACTTGGCACATGCATTGTCTTGTGGGATCACTGGTTACACAGCAACAGGTAACAGGGACATACATATACTGCCTTCTCTAAGGTGCCAGCAAAATGTTGTCTTTTAAAGTAAAAAACTTTCCTTTCTATGAAGTGTTGCCATCTTCTGATTCCTAAATTATACACTAAATATGTGTGTATGCATATTACCAACATATGCATGTTACCAATCCCCTTTGGGGATTAAAATGTATAAAACTTCACACTAGGGAGATGGACTGCTTTGGTATCAACCTTATTTAAAAATATGTGAGCTCACGCCAGGTATGGTGATGCATATGTTGCAATCCCAGCACTTGGGAGGCTGAGGCAGGAAGATTCCAAGTTCAAGGCCAACCTGAGCTACATAGTCTGTCTCAAAAATGAAATCCACATTCCAAATGGAAGCATACATTACCTGAGTATTGAGTGAAGAAACTCGTAGGGGTGTGTCAAGGCCACTGGAGAAGCCCATGTGACCCTAAAGGCAGTGTCCACACCTATCCTATTCACCGCTGCATTTCCAGCCACCCTGTAGATAGATGTTCTAACAATGGTGGTCAACCTATAGCCAGCACAGATGCCACAGCAGTCACAGAACCCTCTCTGTCAATGCATAAGCCAAGGCTCCCCAGCAGTGGAGCATCAGGTAAGTTTTTTTCTGAACTAAAACCTCAGTATTCAAGTTTAGTTGTGTTGGAACTTTATGATAAATGGGTTTCAGGTTGCAGTTTGGGCACTTAGTCTCTAAAAGATTTGCCATCAATATTCTAGAAATATTCACTACATCAATTTTACTTTTCATTGTTCCTGTTAAATGAACATCCTTATCTTCTTGGGACACTTTATAGTTCTGGTAATAATCAGACTAGGCTCGCAACTTCTACTTCCTCAATAAACTAGGGAGTCACAGCAAGCTGCTATCCATTCACTTTTAGTTTCCGGTGTGGGCCTGGTTATCTACACTAGCATTAACTCTGCTAACCGCCTGCTGAAACAGAAACTGTCAATTTCCTCCCTAACCCTTTCCAAAAATTTGTAAAGGGACCCTGGGGACGTAGCTCAGTAGACAGCACTTACCTGGCATGCACTAGATCCTGGGGTCCATGTTCAGTACCCAAAACCCAAACCCCCAAAAAATCCCCAAAACCTAGACTATCCAGTTTCCCCTATGGTTACTTTTTTTTCCAGTCCTGGGGAACGATCCAGGCCCTTTTCCACATGCCAAGCAACTGCGCAACCAGCAAGCACAGCCTGGTTATTTTAGCATCTTAAATCATGGTCACTGTGGTAACAGGAATAGTTGCTATTGGCAGGAATGAAGTTGTACAACCTTTTTCTCATCTGTAAAATGGGACACTACGTGATAGAAAGGACGTATTCCAGCCTGTGGCGGCCTGCTACCGTCTGACAAAGTCTCAGGAGAGCAGGTTCCCACTGCTGCTTCAGAGATGGGAGCATTGTGCCCCTATTCTGCCAAGCAGAATCCAAAGGCATGCGGGACTGCATGCCACCCTGCTTCCCAGCAAGACCCCTGCTATCAGTAAAGGAACTGATGCTTACCTAGCAGCTGACATTGGATAGTGACTCCATGCCAGTTGTCTAACTCACCTTCCCCGTGCCTGTCCAGCACGGGGGACATGTGTGTGTGTGTGTGTGGGGGCCTGACACCCTTTCAACCTGCTCTCCCATTTCTCTCCTCTCCCTACAGTAGGTGCTGAACAAGTGCTTTATTACATTATTCCACTTCATCCTCACACCTAAAGGAGGCCTATTTTGATGGGGACTCAGGTCATAGGCTGGTTTTTCTGATGGTGTCTTACTATGATCAGCTGTGAACTCTCAATCACTAGTCTGCTGCCACCTGCCTTTCAGGTCAAGGAATGGGCAGTATCCCATGCCAACCATGATAGCCACATCAGTTCCCATCTCTTAGCTCTAGTATTACCCATTTAAGGTCCAGAGAAAGCTACTGTAAGGTGAATGTGGCCTTGTCCTTGTCACTTAACTCCCCCTGGGGCTGTCAGGATGTCTCACCTTACCTTGAATGAGGGATGCGCTATTATTTCTAATACATCAAAATGGGTAAATTCGATCAAGCACCTGTGCTCTGGCCTTTAAAAACACCACTGGTTGTTTACCCACGTTGTGACCTGGAGACCAAGATTCTACAAGAACACATTTACAGACAAAGGGCTCATAAGAGGGTGTCTGAAGCTTCCAGGTTTCTGGGTCACAGGGTACTACTCTGGAGCCTACTTTTTAAGCTGAAAAGCAGAGGTTCTTTCAGATCAATCTTAAGTTATATTAACCCCCTAGTGGGGCCTCACTTGCTGTTATGGTTTGTCTAGATGTTCCCCAAAGCCTCATGCACTTTTAGATGAGGCCTTTTCAAGGCAGCCGAATCTAGTTTGTGGTTGATTCATGGTTCACTGTTAGGATTAAGGGTGGATGACTGCTGGATCAATCCACTGACTGGATTTGCACTGCCCTAATCCTCCCAGCAGTCTGGATAAGATAAAAGGGGAAGAAAGAGACTTGCCTCTCTTCTTTTGCTCTTGTTGCTTTTGCTGCCGTGAACTGTCGCCCCTCTGCTATGTGCCACCCTACCCTGGAGCCAGCCAATTACAGTCTAAGACCTGTACGAACTCTGAGCTAAACAAACCTTTCCTCCCTTAACTTTGGGTGTCAGGTATTATCTCAGCAATGAGAAAAGTAACTAAGACACTTGCAACCCCCACCTGTCACTTGCCTTCTTGGCTATGCGCACAGCAAAGGGCCCTACAAACTAAGGAGTTGCCGCTATTCAAACTTCATTACAATTAAACTTTAAACATCAGTCCCTCGCATCAAGCACACTTCAACACCAGGTAGCCAGAGGACAATTTTGTCTTTGCAGAGCAGTGTTGTCAGGTCTGGCACGGGAGGAGAAATTAAGAGTTCAAAAAAGGTTTCAAATATTTATTGTTGATCTAATAGTGCTGATCACAGAAAATGAATTAAGAATCCTGATTAAGTATATTCCACTGTCCCACCAATGGTATTTTTAAGCTTGATACGGTGGTTTTATCTTGACCATGAAAAAGAGGGTATCATCTTATGCTCTCCGAGAGGGTAAATGTGCTGCAGCTCATGTGCAACTCCTTACAGTCCCAGCTTGGTCCTCCTCCAGTGTCTCCTCTTGGAGTTGTACCTACACAGAAGGAAGCCATGGGTTACAAATCAGCCTGGCCACAACTTAGCTGCTTTCGTTCACAACTTGGCCTTTTAGGCACAACAAAATTCAAAGGGTTCCCATTTTTCCTTCTTTTAAGTTTGGAACTTTCTGAAGAATAAAGAAATTATTTGCTACATGTACTCCTGAACAGCTGGAATTACAGTTCTGTGCCACAGCCCCCAGCTGAGGATGGGTTCTTAATCGGGACAGAAGTAGTGGGGGAGCCCTCTTCCGTATCTTTGATTCAAAGACAGGGGAAGATGCTTGCATGCTGTGAAACTAAACGATCACAAACTCCCGCTTATCACAATACATTAACTCCTCACTCATGCCTCCCCCAGAGCAACATGATTTGTAGTGCAAAGCAATCTGAATTGTCCATGTCAATCTGCCATGATTTTACCCTCAGAAAGGCAAAATCAAAAACAATCAACACAGCTTTTTCTTTTAGCAGGATAATGACAGTACTTCCACAAGATGAAGCACTGTAATTGCAACCTGCTTTCAATACATGAAGGGCTGGGGGTCAGAACTCAATGGCAATGCTTGCGGAGCACGCACAAGGCCCTAGGCTGGATCCCCAGCACAGCAAAAAAGTAATCGGAAGATAGTTGACAAAAAAAAAAAAAACAAAAAAAAAAACAACCATTCTACTATGCCAATTCTCTGGGCCAAAGGTATATATAATCCTAAATACAAAACTCCTTCCCCACTCTAGGACATCACAGAACAAGGGACTAATACTGCTAATAGCAAGTATCTACTCAACTAGGAACTGAGTTTTCTTTTGTTCACTCTCATCCGATAGGGACAGAGAAAAAACTGAGGTTCATGTGGATACAGCAAACCAACCACTGCTTACCTTTTCAAGCCTCTTTTCTCACTACTGTATAATGAAGACCACAGGCCAGTGATGGAGTGTGGAAGAGCAGGAAACCCAGCAGTTCATTTTAAACTAAAACTCAGAATGTTTTAACACACCGGGACTATCACTGGCTGCTGGATACCTAGCAAATTCCACTGACTTTTGATGCTTATTTATCCTCCTTTCAAGAATTATCTCAGGTCACCTGGTTAGAGCAGCAGGCTGAAAAAGTTGGAGTTGGGGACTAGCTCCCCTTGGAGGCCCTTCATAACACGTCTCTCCTGAGATCATCAATTTAACTACTTCTGAAGAGGGCAGTTTCAATCTTCAGTGTAACAATCGCTGAGGTCCGCCCCCATGTAGTGTGGGCAGCCTTCCACCTGATCTCTCCCTCAGACTGAAGACAACCAAGAAACTGCTAAGGATCACAGCTTCGGCCCCGGTGTGGTGTGGAAAACAAGTAAGCACAATAAAAAAAAAAGGATCTCAGAGAATGGTGGCAGAGGATGGACTGGATCGCACCGACTTCCACAGCAAGTCTATTTATGTTCAAAAAGTAACCCAAAATTTAACGACAATCAAGAAAAACCACAACTGGGACAATAGAATATCTCACCTGATTTTATTACCAGTCTTCATCCGAATCCACTGAGGAATGGGACGATTCTGCTTTTGCTTCTTGGCCAGGAATCGTTTGATTCTGAAAGTCTTATGAGAAGACTGCAAGGAAATGCAACCAATTTAAAGTGATGCTTTAATCTGCTCAAGAGACTCAAAGAGCACAAACTACACACGCAATGAAAGTCTCAACGCTAAATTATCAAGTCTATTTGATCTGCATTTCTCTGGAGGCAGTTACCATACAAAAATAAGGAGTGAGCTGGGGGTAGTGGCACACACCTATAATCCCAGCACTCGGGAGGCCTAGGCGGGAGGATTCCGAGTTTGAGGCTGAGCTACAGTTCAAGGCCAGCCGGCACTACACAGTGAGAACCTGTCTCGAGTAAAAAACAGTAGAATAAGCAGAATAAACGATGTCATCCAAAATCAGTATTAATGGGCAAATGCAACCTAGCATTTACCTTGTAATTTCAAGGCCAAGATTTATGCAGTCTTCGATATTCAGTAGACCCAACCCATTTTCCACTTTAGTTATTAATCCTCTTTAAAAATGTCACTTTCTCGAGGATGACTTTCCTCATTTCTCCATCTATCTTTTAGCTTTTGCTAACTTGGGTTACCTAAACCAGTGAAATTATTTTGGCCCAACACACCTTGAATAGTAAGGCCTACTGTAAAGAAGACAAAGACTACACTCCTCTATTACCAGTCCACAGAAGCACTTGTGGACTGTCAAGCAATAAACAAGCAAACTGAAATACTGAGCCCCTCCATACTCAGAAGGTACCAAAGTATTTGTCAGCAAACTGTCACAGCAGTGACTGGTGCGCTGCTGACATTTACTAAGAACTCCCGAATGACACAGGTTCACACAATGCTCCCGACCGCAGGAGCTTCCAGAAGGTGACGCACAAGTCTCTGAACAAATGGCTAAAAAGTCCTGTGGTCTCAGTGTTGCTCGCTCCTGGATACAAGCTCCCCTCCCGGCGCCCAGCACATCGTGCACATCCCGAACAGCTGGCAGTCGGGCCGCAGTTTCTGGGGTGGTCCTGCCATCTCTCTTCCCGCCCCAGAATCCCAGCTCGCTCCAGTGGAAGGCAAACAAGGATCCTTGCGCTCCTCTCCTTGGCGGTGACCCTGGCACCAGAGCGCCCCCTCGAATTCCCGGCGCCGACGCACCCCGCCACTCCCCCGAGGGTTCCCTAGCTTCCCGCCAGGCCCTAGAGTAGAGCAGCGGGCAAACTCGACCTTCTCTCGAAAAAGCTTTCCAAATGTCCCTGCCCCTCGATGCTCTACGTGGCCCCAGCGAGTCCGCGGCAGCCTCTTCAATGGGGAAGCCACCTCGGAGCCGATGGCGGCCGATGGACTCACCATGGTTTGGCTCAGAGGGAAGAGCACGCACTCGATGGCGGACTGAAGCAGAAAAGGGAGAATCAGTCGGAAGAACGCATTTAGAAGGCGCCGCTGAGAGGCGGAGCTTAGGCGCCGACGTCACGCGCCTGCGGCCTCCCGCAGCGTCTGGAGCCCTCTTGCCTCGTTTCCCTCTGCGCCTGCGCTCCCGGGTAGGGGGCCGTGGGAACCTGAGTTGGTGCGATGTAGAATTCACTCGGCTTCACGTCCCTTAGAGGTTCCCTCGGCACCTCGTCCGTCCTTGTGCTAGAGGCTGCCTGGTTCCTGGGTGAGGCAGACAGCCTACGCTAAGTACCCAAATCGAAGCCCTTCCGAAAACCAGGTGCAGAAGGGATGGGGCCAGCGCCGAGAGAGGGCGGGGACCGCGTGCGTGCGTCACGTCGGAGCGCCGGGCTGTGCCCTAGACTTGGACGGAAGCGCGCACCTAGGGGCAAGGGCTGGTAACCGCCCGCCGGCCCTTTCCTTAGACGATGCGGGACGGGTCTGGACGGTGGTGTCGCTGGAAGCAGGAAGGATCAGTGGGGGCTGGACCACGTAAGCCCTAAAAGCTTAGGGAGGACTTTGGGGTTTTCGACTAAATTCGCTGCTAGAAAAAAAAAAAATTCGTTGCTAGGAAGTGGAGACTGATCTCGTCTTCCACCTTCCTCTGGATGTACAGAAATTAATGGCACGCCTTTGGGATGCGATTATTTCCCATTTTCATCTTTTTCTTCTCCCCACTTAAAAACCTGAGCTACACTTGGCTGGGGGCATAGCTCAGTAGTAGAGCACTTGCCAGCGTGTGCAAAGCCATGAGTTCCATCTCCAGCACCACAAATAAACAGAGGAAAACCCCACAAAAACCTCTGTATATTTTTGCAGTTACCGCAAGCATTTTTGCTCTGATGGATTGAGGCATGGGCGTTTAATCGGTTCTTCAAGAGTCCATGTGTAGAATTCAGAGTCAGTAAACTTGGATGGGAAAAATACAACTATATTTAAAATAAAGTGACTGATTGTAAAGTTTGTTTTATTTACAAATGTAAACAACAGACCACAGTGGCATTAGTAGTACCTGTGACTTGGTCGTCTATAGAAACCATAGATGGTTTCATATTAACATTACACTTGATGCAGATATCCTGAACTGTTGTTTAATGTTCATCGCTTGATCGATTGACTGACTGATTGATTGATTGACACCCGGCTTATCACGTTCTTTAAAAACAGTATATTAAGCCCACAAAACAGAACTGTTTAAATAAAGTCCATGTTACTATAGCACACCTTTTGTTTTGTTTTGTTTTGGGGTGTTTTTGTTTTTTTTAAGACACACTCTCTGCAGTTCAGACTGGCCTTGAACTCACTATGTAGCCCACGCTGGCCTCAAACTCAGAGATCATCTTGCATCAGCCTCCCAAATGCTGGGATCACAGGCATGTTCCACCACACCTGGCTAGCCCACGTTTATTTTAAAAATATTGTGATAAAAAAAATATTGTGATAACTTCATTGTAGTGTTAACTGTTTTTCTTTGTAGTCTTATGTATTGAGAAATTTCTGAAAGCCAGGTGTGGTGAGGTACATCTAAAATCCAGCTACTCCAGAGGCTGAGGCTGGAGGATTGTAAATTGGAGCCCAGCCTGGGCAAGTTAGCAATTTAGCAAGACCTTGTTTGAAAAACTTCTGAAAATAAGTCCATAGGCTTTATCAGACTATCCATAACACAGAAATGCTTACAAATCCCTGGACTGGATTACAGTGACAGATTGTTGAATAAACAAACTTGCTTTCTGTGCCAGATGCTCTGTTCCCTTGGGAATCCCACAGCTTTTCCCGCATTTCCATCAAGTCCAGGCTAAAGTGTCATCACTTCAGTGAGATCAGCCCCTAAACATTCCGCTGCTCCCTTCTTTGCCTGCTTTGTGTTCTCAGTGACACTTACTCCCTTCTAGCATGCCATATGTTATTTCTTTTATTGTCCAGTTCCCCACAGTCATCACGCTCAATGAGGTCAGAGATTTTTACAAACTTTTTACTCTGGGGCTACAAATGTAGCTCAGTGATAGAGCATATCTTTAACATGCACAAGCCCTGGGTTCAGTCCCCAGCATCAGTAAAGCACAACTTTTTACTTTGAAATAATTACAGATTGATAAGAAGTTGCAAAGAAATGGCCAGGACACCCTTCAAGGCAGCCTTCCTTAGGCTTAGCATCTTGTGCAATTATAGTACAGTTGCACAACGGGACATCCACACTGACATGATCCACAGGGCTCATTCAGATTTTACCAGTTATACATGCACTCGTAGTTATACACTTTTTTTTTTTTTTTGTCTTTTTGAGACAGGATCTCCTATGCAGTTCAGGCTGGCCTTCAACTCACTTTGTAGCCCAGGCTGGCTTCGAACTCGCAGCAATCCTCCTGTCTCAGCCTCCCGAGTACTGGGATTCGTAGTTACACACTTACAACATGTACAGTTATACATGTACATATGTGTGTAGTTCTACACATTTTCATCACGATTGCAGCTTTGGATAACTCCCACCACAATAAAAATACTGTACAGAACCATGGTTGTGAATGTAGCTCAGTAGTAGAGCACTTGTCTAAAGACTTGTGATGACCTGGATTTTATTACCAGTACTGCAGAAATCAGAAACATAATCACATCAGCCAGGGATAGTAGCATACTCTTGTAATCCCAGCACTGGGTGGCTGAGGCAGGAGGATTGTAAGTTCTAGCCCTGCCTGAACAACTTAGCACTTTAAGGAGACCCTGTTTAAAAAAAAAAATAAAAATGTGCTGCAGCTGGGCATGGTGGTGTACCCTGTGATCCTAGCACTCAGGAGGCTGAGGCAGGAGGATCGTTGCAAGTTCAAGACCGGTCTGGGCTACAAAGTGAGCTCAAGGCCCACCTAAACTGCATAGTGAGACCCTGTCTCAAAAATACCAAAAAAAAGGGGCTGGAAACTTAGCTCAGTGCAGAAGCCCTGGTGTCAATCTTCAGTACCACAAAAATAAAAATAAAGAACCAGAACCACACCCATCATCACAATCAGGGGATTTTTTTTTTTTTTTTTTTTTTTTTTTTTGGCCAGATTTGCCTCCAGCACCAAGTACCAAACCTGACACATAGTAGGCCCTCAAAATCTATTGAAAAAGCAGTTGAGCATAGTGGTGGCAACACGGGCCCTGGGTGTCAACCATGCAATAAAAGAGCTAAGTAACCTTTGTGACAGAACTTGGCCTGTCCATGCTATTGTTCCCTCTTCTGTAAAGTAGGAATAACAAGTACTACTGCTTCTGTCAGAGTGCCGGGTAAGAGTTTAGTCACTGGCTGGGTATGCTAGGCGCGTTACTTACGGCAGGCATTACTACATGTGACAAGCAAGAGCCCTCAAGCTCAGAATATGAGCTGAATTGCTTCCCCCAAGTTCCTACACTGAAGGCCACAGAGTATGAGGCCAGCCTGGGCTACAAAGTGAGTTCAAGGCCATCATAAACTGCACAGTGAGACCCTGTCTCTAAAAGACAAAAAGAAAAAGAAAAGGCCACCAGAGACAGTAAGAAGCTAGCCTTCTGCAAGCCCTGGACAGGCCTCTGGAAAAACCAATCCTGCCAACGCCTTGATCTTGAACCTCTGGCCTCTAGAAATGTGACAAAATACATTTCTGCTGTGTAATCCACCCAGTCTATGGCAATGTGTCTCTTGTTGTAATAAATTTGTGTTTGACTTTTGTTTTTTTGAGATAGGGTCTTGCTATGTAGTTCAGGCTGGCCTTAAACTCACTATGTAGCCCAGGCTGGCCTAGAACTCTCAGCAGTCCTCCTGCCTCAGCCTCCTAGGTACTGGGATTACAGGCATGTGCCACCATACCCAGCATTTTGTAATAACTTTTTTTTTTTCTTTTTTGTATTTTTGAGACAGGGTCTTGATATGCAGCTCAGGCTGGCCTTGAGCTCACATTGTAGCCCTGGCTGGTCTCGAACTTGCAACGATCCTCCTGCCTCAGCCTCCTGAGTACTGCGATTACAGGCATGCACCACCACGCCTAGCTGTAATAACTTTTAAAAAACTGTAGCATTTACCATATTTTTAAATCATTCCTTATAAATGGTATAACAAATTTCTGGAGTGTAAAGGACAGTGCAGAAACAGTAAAGAAAATTCTAGGCAGCCCCTATGAAAACAGAAACGGAAGACTGACTTGAGAGGGATCATGTGGTGTCCACTACCATAGCACTAGTGCCAACACACAGTAGGAGTTGCTCAATAAAGGGTCCAATAGCCAGTGTCTGAGTTATCTCTATCTTGTCCTTATTTCCAAAGAAACCCGGACCTGGGGGTGTAGCACAGTGGTATAGCATTGGCTTAGTATGTCAAAGGCCTTGGACTCAATCCCCAGCACTGAAAAAATAAAAGCAGGAACAAAGAAATCAAGCCACACCTTGAAGAAAAGGAGGCAAAAATGGAATAGATTCTTATTTTTCTATGATTTGTAAGTTCAAAGCTGGGCCCTGTGGCTCACATCTACAAACCCAGTTTTTCCAGAGTCTGAGACAAAGGGATTTTAAGTTCAAGGCCAGCTTGGGCAACATAGTGAGACCCCCATCTCAAAAAAATATGGTTTATAAGTTTTTTGTTTTCAGTGCTAGAGATTCAACTTGGGTTCTTGCTAGGCAAAAATGCTAGGCAAAAATGCCTTACCACTGAGCCATACTCCCAATCTCCTGCAATTTTTTTTTTGTCTTTTTGAGACAGGGTCCTGCTATGCAGTTCAGACTGGCCTTGAGCTCACTTTGTAGCCCAGGCTGGTCTCGAGCTTGCAACAATCCTCCTGCCTCAGCCTCCCAAGTGCTGGGACTATAGGCGTGCACCACCACACTGGCTACAAGTTTATTCTTATTAAAACCATGAAACTATAATTTATGAGGAAGTGGTCCTTACCCTGTTCTTCCCAGAACAAATAGGGACAACAAGGAAACTATTACTTGGTTCAAAAATTTCCCCTAAACTGGGCATGGTGGTGCATGCCTGTAATCCCAACACGCTGGAAGGCTCAGACAGGAGGATCTCAAATTTGA